CCGTTACCGATATTTTTATAAATATGGATGAATTGGCCTTGAATTCAATGACAATGGTAACGATAAAAGCTATTCTATTGGATATAATGAAGACTACGACAGCGATAATGGCTCACATACATCCGAATCTAGTGTTACTAGCTAGCAAAAAACCATTAAGTATAAGTCTGTTTCGCAACACACTTTCCATTAATATACAGTTCATCATTTTAGTATGCGATCTGTAATCTGTTCATCTACCATATGAAGTATTTTCGATCTAGGGAAGTTAACCATCGAACAAAACTGTCGTGCTCCAAGGTCTATGGATGATATTGGGATCTGTATCATGATATTAGAACTCAAGAAATTCAAAGATACTTTCCTCTTTTTTCGAAAACTCGCCACTTTGAGCAGAACAGAGCATAATGAACAGGAAAGTTTGAACGACAGAATGAAACTACTCTCAGCTCTTCACGGCTTACTTTCAAGAAGTTACGAACTTTTGAAGCTTCTCTTCAAAGCCTAAAAAACCTAATCTTTTTAATTTTGTAAGTTTCCTCTTCTCTCCTGCCCATCAAAAACTACCCGTTGCATAACAAAATGTCATTGGTGGTTGTTTTCCTACGCTAAAATCCCATTTCAGATTACGAAAGAGGACATGTGAAGTCCTAATCCTACGCTAAAATGAGTCTCATACAACACATCTACCATGGTTTACCTTTCGAAACAAAAAGTCCAACCTGTAATTCGAAAAATGTACATGAGATATCGTTCTAGATACATGAAGATATACAACAGATGTCAGTCTATTACTTCGCACAAGTTTCACATTTACATCTACCATGGTTCAGACCGTTACAGACAATCTCCGGGAATATCAACAAAATATGAACCATAGGAGCCTTCAAAACACATCCTACATAGTCTATCCGATACGCCAAATACTGTGGTAATGTTTACTTTGTTGGCCACGCTAAGCAAACTGCAAAAGGTCAATTTTTTAGAATTTTTCAGAAGCACATTTTCCCCACTGGGATCATGTTAAAATAAATATCTTATAGCGCTTTCGTTTCACAACGAAATGGGTTCCAAATTGCTAAAACCCCTTCAATTTTGTTGTCTCTACAGCTTAGCAAAGTTCAAATGTCTTTTGATACCAAGCTTTCATGCAAAGATCTTCGGTGGTCTCTTGAAAAACCTCGACGATATCATTTAGCTTTTCGGACTTTAGTCCATTTAATGTGATGAAACACTTCAAGCTAAGTTTATTATCAAACTTCGAAAGAACGTGGTTGTGAAATGAAAGCGCTATAAGATATTTATTTTAGTATGGTCTCACTAGGAAAATTGTATTTTCTGAAGAACTAACGTTTTACAGACTCTTTTTAGCATTCCTATGAACGATACGGGGCTCCCTTTCTTTCTAAAGTTTCTGTACGAACTGACATTTTACCTTCATTATTTTTATTATAATGTAATGCCGCATGGAAATTCAAGTAAATAAAAAAGCTTTTTCCATGATATGGAAATGTATAAATCCTAAACTTGCACCAATCATCATTATCAAACACAATACTCCAATTTTGTTTTAACCAAAATGCTGTCTGGAATGATAAACGTAAAGCTTCTATATTTGGCGGTTTATAATAATATGTTATACCATACTGGAATAATTCTAAAAATTGAAATGTTTGGAGTAAATGCTCGAGGTGTTGTCCATGGATATGATCAATTGAATCCAAAATAAGCGTTAAAAATTTTAATCCTCTAATTTGTTTTAAAAATATGGATATGTACCAAGGGGGAAACAGCGGACTCCAGACGCATGAAGTCATTTGGAGTCAAGTGGAGTCAAGTGAAGTCACTTGATGCGTTGGAGTTAATTGATGAGGTGGAATCAGGTGATAGGGTGGAGCCCACGAGAGAAATAGCAGACTAGATGGGATCCCAGTCTTG